TGTAAAACATCAAAAGTGAGTACAGGTCTGTTTTTGACGTAACCAGAGTTTTGTTTGGTAGAGTTACTAGAGTTTAGGTGCCTGTTTATGATAATTTTAATTGAATGGTTTAACAAGCAAGAAAAAGAAATCTGAAAATCATCACGCTAAAAAAAGACCCAGAAAGTATTCAAAGTTTAAAGAAATTTAAAATAAAAAAAAACTTTAGAGAGCCAAATGACTTCATCAAGACTGAGTTAAAAGAACCCAAGACATTGAGGCTTATTGGAAGCAACATGTAAAGAACTGGAAGATGACCTAGGAATTTTGCACAGCACTGTAGTTACAGCTACAATGCCAATAATTCTAATTTACTAGTATATTATCACAGGGTCCAAAGGGTCTTTCATATTGCTACATGATTTTTTTTTCTGTTGTAAAAGCCACAAAACAAGTATTAAGTAGTAAATCAGATTACAGTGTGAATCATAAAGTTTCCTTTCTTTTAATAAATACACAGTGAAAGTTTCTGTGTGTAGCACAATTCTCCATTTCGTAACGTATTCCTGCTTTTCTCCCATTATCTCTTCATTTGTCTCTGTGACTGTATAAGTCCGTCATTGCCATCTTTGACAGTATCATCATTATTATGATCAATGGTTATGAATATTGCGCCAATGTGTCCATTTATCTTAGTCGCCATGGTCATCAGGTTAAAAATAAAGGCTGCGACTGTGTAAAGACTATCTGTGGACCTGCCACCGTAGTGCAAAGCTCTTCAGAGTTCAGCCACTCTTKTGGGGCTTTGCAGTAAAACCCAACTCACCGCTAATGTACTCTTGATTTTTACGTGGTGGTTTCTTAATAACTATTTATACTTTCGCAAATTGGAAAGCTTTACTTCCTCAAAAGGAAAGGTAATTATGCCTCACAGCTGATTTTTTTGCATCAGTGTGTGTTTGCATGCAAAGATCCATGTGGCTGGTTCACTTAACCTAAAAGAGAAAATAAATATTTTTATGCTTATTGTAATACTACAGGAATATTTTTTAAGTAACTGTATGCATTTATGTGTGTGTTTGATTAAAGATATGAAATCAATGTTTAAACCTTAAGTTGTCTCTTATGTTTATATACATTTTGCGTCAAAGAGCCAAACTGTTTTTAAGGGCTTTCCTTGAAGGGGAGGGAAGTTTTTTTTCTTTGAACAATCATTGGACTTATACACTCATTTTCCACTGTAATCCTTGAGTCTGACCATTTTCAGTAGAAGTGTTTCAGTGATTATTTTCTGCAAGCCCTGAAACATTGACAAAATCATTTATCCACAATAAAGATAAGCTTGCATTAGGGTTCTGTCTGTGCTAAGAAAGCATGGCGAATAATACATGTCATTATCTTTAGGCTCAGTTATAGCAGCACCTTGTCACATCAGTTTTTGTGTTTTTCTGTGAAAAATACAAAACAAACCGTATTTTTAGGCCAACTAGCTGATCTCATAAGTATTGTTGTTGAAATAATGTTTTATCTACATTGTGATTAGAAGAACTTATTTTAGGTCAGCTTACATAAGCAACAGGTCTGGAATAGAAACCCAGGCATTCCTAATCATATTTTCACTTTCCAGCTCATCCTGGTTAAACACAAGGAATTTCCATGCTTGTAGAGATGTACTGTACAGTTTATCTAGCAAGTTTTAAGATTCAAGATTCAAAGTGTTTATTGTCATATGCACAGATGAAAACATGTTTCCCTGAGCAATGAAATTCTTTTTTTTGTCACTTCAGTAGAAAACGAAACTAAATATTACTTTATTTAGTTTATTTATTTCTTCATCATCA